CGTATTGATATGCCATAATAATAACATAATATTGTTATTGGTCTAACATTACAAAAAGAACAATTTAAATATTAAAGATGTTGTTGAAAACTTTCTGAGAACCTCCCGTCCTCTGAACCGATAACATTTTGGTACACAACGAGGTGTAAATAGATATAGATTCTAGGCTCCTATTTATATATATATATGTGATTTTGTACCCAAAACAAATTAAATTGTACCCAAAATACTTTGTGCATTTGTACCTAAGAAAATAAGACAATAATCTATAATTATATTTATGTTTTCATGTAGATGAACAGAACACATAATAAAATATTTCATCAAGTTCCAAATATGATTATGACTGTGATCCTTGAAATTGATTGTTTAGTTTTGAGAGAAAATTGACGTCTTGTCACAGAAGGAGAGGCCAGTTATTTTGGTTAAAGTAAGAATGAATTGTTTTGATAGGAAAGTGATATTATGTTAAGTTTAAGACACCAAATTAATGTATATCTTTGAAATAATTCTAGGTAGATCTACAAAATCACATACCCATTTGGGTAACAAATTACTAGAAATTTTGGGTACAAAAGTCACCACTGTACATTTCAATTGATTTTCGTGAATCAATGGGATAAAAAAAATTCGTATGAATGATTCCTTTTCTCATTTTTTTAAGACAAGAATTTGTTTTACATAACAAAACAGGCAGATCTACACGGATCACATTTAGTCCTAAAAAGGTGAAAAATATGGACACCTCAGAAATGAGGGCTTATAAGGTTATAATTCTACCTAACTAGTCACATGGTTTGACTTAGATCTAGGTCTATCTAAGAAAAGTCCTTATGAAAATCTTTTTTAATTTTTTTTATGACACTGACATTTCTGGCACTTAGACAAAGAGTATTCAAGGAAAGACAGATATGTTTTTGAATGAAAATATGACTTTCCTTTATAATTCTTTTTTCATGATGACAGGGGAACTTTTATACACACCAGCTGAGGAAGTTGTGATACTGTGATTGCATACAAAGAAAAAACAGGTTGGAAGCAGTACCTGTATGTATAAAATAGACCACATAAGGTGAACAAAAGTAATGGATTGGCTGACTGGAAAAAATACATCTGGCAAGGGTAAACATGTACACAGGCATGTTTCTTTTCATTCCAACCAGAAGACTGAGATAGCATTTTCTAAGAAACCTATGGCAAACTTACCAGCTCATGTGCCACCATGGTTCTTGTGATTAAACAAACAAAAATGTCATGTACTATTACAAGTACTTTTACTGTAATTAAATTAAATTAATTCCTATTAAATTATATTTCAGAATTGTTTTATTTGGAAACAAACCACATAATGCACAAGATTAATGTCCATATGAGTTTAGTATGTATATGTTAAGGATCTGATTTATTCATTATTCATGGAATACTAAAATTAAAATGATGACATCAGAGAGTTACTTATTCACATAGTTGATTTTCAGAGTGCAAGATAATAATTGTTGTATAAATATGTTTAAACTAAAGATAATAATTGAAGTTTGATCAGTTACACTGTGCTGATGCAAAGACTAATATTTACTGTCCCCACACACCATCATTGTGGGAAAAATAACTATTAAATATAACTTAAAATTTTAAAACCTGTAAACAGCTGTAAATAATTAAACAATTACAAATCTATCATCAATGCGCAATCATGGTGGTCTTCATATTTTTGGAATAAATTTAGAAATCCTTCGTGAAACTGTTCTAAAATCATGCTAGAATCTATGAATGTATTCCCGAAAGGAAAACTATCCTAAATGTAATGTGGAACTAACACCGAAAATATGTACGTAGCATTTTATTGCTTATATATACCCTATCATATTCGGCAACGCGGGGATGTAATTTTGAAACAAGTTTTGTCAAGCCCATTTTCGCGCACCTGTTGTTGAGGGTGATCTTGCTGATCGACGATATCCATAGACGTATTGCGTGGGATACACTTGTTGTAGTGAAACTTATCAGCATGTACATCGCAGAAATATGAATCATGTCCCATTTATATTCACAACATTGAATGGTGATTTTTTAAATATCAACAGAAGTTCAAATAAAAGATACCGAGAAACTTGCATGTGGCATGTTGATTTATCGTCTACCGTTTCCGGGTCACGGGAGCATGCAAGGTCAAACGGATTAACTAATACGCGAATTATATCGTCAAAGTCACATTTTTATTTCATGTTAGTGGTGATTACTGATACTGTGTATCGACTTATATTTTTGCTGTATGTGATAGGCGAACTATTTCAAAATTTACTGTAATTGTTTTGTTTCGAAAGCTTATCAGCAGACTACCCCTGTCTGTGACATCACATCCGGTGACCTTTGCACTTATTGAAATAGTGCTGTCAGAATTCACGATCTTTATTTTCATTTTTCTCTCGTCATATTTATTGGAATATGACGAATAAAACATTCTTCGATTGAGAAGATCGTCAACTTTCGTTAAGTTATATTTATAAAGGCAATGTAAACTTTGTTGATATTAAAATAGCAATAAGTTATGCGGAGGTCGGGCGAAGCGCGCCATGTTTGATTTTAGGACGTCTGCTAGCATCATGACACGGGTTGTTTATTTTTGTATATCGTAAATATTCAACCAAAACGCTTGAAATTAGGATTAGTGAATATTTATAAGTCATTAATTGTTTCCTGCAAATTTTATAACATGACACGTCAGATTTACCCGAATATTCGTATTTCTGCAACCGACATGATGACCTCGAAAATTAAGTTATTTTTCTGTTTAACGTTTAGATAATAAATTCACTGAAATGGTTCATAATTTACCATCGCGCTGATATGTGCCGATTATAAAACCCGAATTTTTACTCAATTAAAATTAAGATATCGGAGATATGATTATTGAAATCAATTTGCAAAAATGTTACGATATTAAAAGGTTCCTAGCATGAAATGCAAACCACCTTCAATAACGCAATTCAGGTAAGTTCAAGAAAATTTACAAATTTTGTGTTCGTTTTGGTTTAAACTTTGGTATAATTGAAAACACCAGGATATTTTTATATAGAATTGTGTAGTTTTCTATCAGGAATAAATGTGCAAAATATTTCTTCAATTGGCCATTGTTTAATGAGGCACCGACTGTTTGAAATCACCCACCCTCTTTAGAGCGCCTTATGCTAAAATTAATCCAGCAGGCAGGGGTAAGAAGTGTGAAAATAATTCAGCAGGCTAAAGGTTAAATAAAAGGGCAAAATGATAAAAAAAATTATTATTATGAATTATATGTGTAAAGATTCAAAACAGGTCAGTTTCAAAATAAAATATAAATGTATAAATATGATGTTAAGTAGGCAAGTTAAAAATAACAGAAGTAACATTGCTCATAGTGGTATTCTAAGAGCATGAGTAAGGGTTATCTCCCCTTGACAACATTCTACATCTGTTACAAATTCTGACTTTTGTTTGACCCATTGAATGAATAATTATTCTATTAGTCTTCATTACGATAACTTTTTAATAAGACATCATCAAGAATGTGGATTTACATCGTTAACAGATTTAAATTATTACTCTGTAATCATCTATATATACTATCAACTATATATAACAAGAACATATATATAACAATATTTAGAAATTACATTCCATTTTCACACTGTTTGAAAAGTATCAAATGACATTTATTTTTGTGAAGAGTAAAATGCGCTTATATGTAACAGATATGAGAAAATATGAAGAAAAAACAATCTCATCGACAACCACAACATGCTTCATTATTCTGATTGGAACAATTTACATCTTGTCAAACATCCTATATCTTGTCAAAACAGCCTATTTACTATTCATAGTTATATATACAGAATAACAACATGAACATATCACTATGTATATAACGGATATTCAAAATGTTTTACACACATAAATACAGAAAAATACTGTAAAAAAACCTTTTGGTTTTCTGAGTAACCACCTCACAATTGAGGGTGTGTAAGTACATGGGAGTCACACAATTACCATATACACACACAATTAAAACTTCCCATGTCACTTGACAAATATGGACATCACTATTTACCATTGGACATACTGATGTTAAAATGTGTCTACTTACAATGTCCGTTAGTAAACTTGTAAAAGAAAACCTATTTTTAATATTTAATTTTTTTTTTAAACTAAGTTGATGTGATGATAAATGGATATGCCTTGAAACATCCAGACTAATACAGAATACTTGCCATCATTTATCCTTGGTTTTTCGCCATTGGAAATTTAAACATGTATGATAATGTGTGACCCTGAGCTTCCAATTGCTTGCAAATCATGCTGCGTGTTAATTCTTCAATAACAATACCTCCATGTAGTGAGAGTGAGTTGGATTTAACACCGCTTTTAACAGTATTCAAGTTATATCAAGGAGTGTCAACTTAATGTGGGAGGAAAGCCCGCAGCGGGATTAGAACCCACAATCATAGGTTTATGGTCATGCCCAAGGGAAGCAACTCTGCACAGTGAATCGCTCACCTTAGACGACTGGGCCACCTGTGCCCCCATATAATCAAGCCTTCCAATGTTAAATGTACCTTTCTGTGTGAGTTATAAGGGAGACTTTGGTAACTTGCAGGGGACTCCTACTTCACAGTGACTTCCTTGTCTATCAAACAGGTGCCACACCGGCAAGAAGCTCACACTGTTTACAGCATCAGTGTCATCTAAACTGTTCTGTCTGACAAGACCTCTACCACTGTATTGCTTGTAAACAGGTTGTGAATCCAACAGCTTTATGTTGGCAACGTTTTCGCGACTTGTCCGAAGGCAGCTGGTCATAAACCACAGTCTGGGGGACAGAGTTCCGGTAGCTGCGACCTTGACCTTGAACTTGAACTTGACCATGGTTCAAAATAACATTTTCTGTAGCTGCGACCTTGACCTTGACCGCTGTTCTTTTTTCAGCTGCCGAACTTACCAAGATATTGTTTTTTTAGGACCGATTCTTCCTTGGAAAGTGTTGGCGGCACAAGATCAAGCATTCTCGATGCCATATTGTTATGGATTTACCCAGGTGTTTTCTTGACCGAATGACCACAATGCGAAAACGCTAAACCACGTTTCTGGTCAAGTGCACAAAAACGCCCCCCTGTATTTTGTGGTATCTTCATATAAATATGCTCCCAGTGACTGAACGTGGAATCTCTCCTATAAGAGTCTATAAACACATTAAGCATTCAACTTCAAACAATGTACTTTCAATACTTCAGCTAAGCAGCCATTTTGAAAATCTCATTAATGCTTCACCGATTTTGTGAATCCTGAATTTCCAGATTGTCCTTATTTGGTCGGAACCCATTCCTTTCAAACAATAACAGATATGTTCTAATAAAAAGATAATCAGACTGATTTATCGCAAATATTTGAATCCAATCATAAAACTAACTTTCCATACATGAAGTCTCAGAACTGTTGAACATTCTAACAATAACATCAGACATGTAGATATGGAAGTATTTTCCATTTTGAATTACAATGCTTGTTCAGGATTGGTTAGTTTTCTCCATCTGCTGGTCTGTGATTGGCTACTTCCCTAACCCGCTCCTGACTGGCTACATCTTCCTAGCATCTTGTCAGTGATTGGTTACTTTAGCCTGCTGCTTCACTAGTGAAAGAGAAGTTCTTGAATACATTCTGGTTCATTGTCTTCATGAGGTCCTTGTCTGGTGGAGTGAGCTGAGCCTTCTCCATAGTGAAGTCCATGTCAAAGTTGGAGCTGTCGCTAGCCGATTTCTGAAAGAAGAAATTAGCCATTTTTGAAAATGAGTGTGGCAAAAGGCAAAAACAAACAATCCAATATATACATTAATATATCCATAATTTGACAAATGCTAAGCCAAGTCAAAGTGCAAGGTTCAGTTATCCTTCCAATTTTTTGCATTAACTTTTCACAATTACATTCTGATGAAGGCAGCTTGGGATGCATGATCCCCAGGGAGCTGAGAATGAAAATCGAGTGCACAATGATCCATTGATTCGGGGTAATAATGTAGCACAATGAGCATGCTTTAGGATGGGACCTGCACATAATTATTAATATAATAAATAATATTTTCGCAATAACATTTTTAATACTGCCTTCAAGAAATGTTTGAGACTTTTCAATTATTTGTGAACCTAATTTTTCTAAAAAACTTACAAGCTTTGGTTTGAAAGGTGGTGGCATTTCTCGTTTCTCCAGTTTCTCCCAATCTATGTTGCGGAAGAATTGCTGCGATCTGATTGGTCCAGCTTGACACCCTGGCATGCCCAGACGTTCCAGTGCATTCCGTTCAAACAGCTGAAACAACACAGATACTTCATCAATGTCTAGATGGTTACTTGTTTCTGTGCACTTATTCTCTGACTTCTATCCTTATGCCTATCTGTTGACATCAACATCTAAATGTCTATCTGTTGACATAATCATCTATATGCCTATCTGTTGACATAATCATCTATAGGCCTATCTGTTGACATAATCATCTATATGCCTATCTGTTGACATAATCATCTATATGCCTATCTGTTGACATAATCATCTATATGCCTATCTGTTGACATAATCATCTATATGCCTATCTGTTGACATAATCATCTAAATACCTATCTGTTGACATAATCATCTAAATGTCTATCTGTTGACATCAACATCTAAATGTCTATCTGTTGACATCAGGATCTATATGCCTATCTGTTGACATCAGTATTTATTTGCCCCTCTGTTGACTTATGCATTTATTTGCCTATCTGTTGACATAATCATCTATATGCCTATCTGTTGACATAATCATCTATAGGCCTATCTGTTGACATAATCATCTATATGCCTATCTGTTGACATAATCATCTATATGCCTATCTGTTGACATAATCATAAAAATGCCTATCTGTTGACATCAGCATCTATATGCCTATCTGTTGACATAATCATCTATATGCCTATCTGTTGAAATCAGCATCTATATGCCTATCTGTTGACATCAGCATCTATATGCCTATCTGTTGACATAATCATCTATATGCCTATCTATTGACTTATGCATCTATTTGCCTATCTGTCTACTTCAATTTATAGCATGTTTGCCCATACAGGTAAAACATTCTTTCTTATAACATAAGGGCATTTTTACGACTTAGTCCATAAAGAAGAGTGATGTGAATGTCAGGATGATTTAAAAAATCTTCCTGTATTCAGATCCAACACAGCATCACAAAATGTCAGAAGTAGTTCAGTGGATGTAGCACTTACCAGACTCAGCATTGTTGCGGCTTCCTTGGACATGGAGTGGGGGTATCGGGGGGTATCATGGAGGATGGAGTGGAAGAGGTCATCTTCATCGTCGCCATGGAAGGGAGACTGGCCAATCAGCATCTCGTACAACAGCACGCCATATGACCACCAGTCCACCGAGGCGTTGTATTTCTGGCCTTTCAGAATCTAAGGGAGACAAATCAGTGGTCAATATTCATGGTATTTGACTGGAAATTCACAAGCACATTTAAAATAGACATATCGGCTAAATCACCTAAAGATATTCCTTTCAGTCCAAAGTAATATGCAGTCAAGCGAGGAAATTTATTTCCTCATGTCAGCAAAAGACTTATTTAGATTTTTAGATGGGCAAATATTTGTCAAATACATGGTCAGTATGTGGTCTAAGGTTTTCCAATAGTATTTTTATTTGAATATTAGTTTCATTTGTGAATACAAAGACACAGATACTGATGTTTTCGATAAATTAAATTAAAAACATTTCAAAACCATGTTATTTGCCCAGAAACTCAACGCTTTCCAAAACATCTTGTCACAGTTGACAAGAAAACAGTATCACGCTTGACAAGTAAACAGTATTTGATGAACTTACCTCCGGAGCAATATAATCAGGAGTTCCGCAGAACGTAGTGGCAAGTTTTTCACCAAATATATTTTCCTTGCACATGCCAAAGTCTGCTATCTTTATGTGGCCATCTTTGTCAAGCAGTACATTGTCCAACTTCAAGTCTCTGAAACAGACATTTGGCATGGTTACAAACATTACCTACATGTAAACAAACTCTATTTCGCATTGTTGTTACATACATTTCCTACAAGTAAACAAACTCTATTTCGCATTGTTGTTACATACATTTCCTACAAGTAAACAAACTCTATTTCGCATTGTTGTTACATACATTTCCTACAAGTAAACAAACTCTATTTCGCATTGTTGTTACATACATTTCCTACAAGTAAACAAACTGTTTCACATTTTTACAAATATTATAAAGTGTCGGAATGGTAAAGTAATCTCAACAATAAGCGTGACAATTCCTACATACCTGTATATAATTCCATGGGAATGTAAGAACTGAAGGCCGCAAAGTATTTCTGCTGCATAGTATCTGGAAGTGAAAAAATAATATTACTATAATGCATATAGTATCAGAATTACTGTTATCAGATGTTAACATCATTGTAGTGATAATAATCTACACCATGGGCCACATCTACTCCCCATCCCCCACATCTGGGGCCACATCTACTCCCAATCCCCCCCATCTGGGGCCACATCTACTCAACATCCCCCCCATCTGGGGCAACATCTACTCCCAATCCCCCCCATCTGGGGCCACATCTACTCAACATCCCCCCCATCTGGGGCAACATCTACTCCCAATCCCCCCCATCTGGGGCCACATCTACTCAACATCCCCCACATCTGGGGCCACATCTACTCCCAATCCCCCCACATCTGGGGCCACATCTACTCAACATCCCCCACATCTGGGGCCACATCTACTCCCAATCCCCCACATCTGGGGCAACATCTACTCACAATCCCCACATCAGGGGCCACATCTACTCCCAATCCCCCACATCTAGGGGCCACATCTACTCCCAATCCCCCACATCTGGGGCCACATCTACTCCCAATCCCCCCCATCTGGGGCCACATCTACTCAACATCCCCCACATCTGGGGCCACATCTACTCCCAATCCCCCACATCTGGGGCAACATCTACTCCCAATCCCCCACATCTGGGGCCACATCTACTCCCAATTCCCCACATCTGGGGCAACATCTACTCCCAATTCCCCATATCTGGAGCCACATCTGCTCCCAATCCCCCACATCTGGGGCCACATCTACTCCCAATTCCCCACATCTGGGGCCACATCTACTCCCAATCCCCCACATCTGGGGCCACATCTACTCACAATCCCCCACATCTGGGGCCACATCTACTCACAATCCCCACATCAGGGGCCACATCTACTCCCAATCCCCCACATCTAGGGGCCACATCTACTCACAATCCCCCACATCTGGGGCCACATCTACTCACAATCCCCCACATCTGGGGCCACATCTACTCCCAATCCCCACATCTAGTGGCCACATCTACTCACAATCCCCCACATCTGGGGCCACATCTACTCCCAATCCCCACATCTAGTGGCCACATCTACTCACAATCCCCCACATCTGGGGCCACATCTACTCCCAATTCCCCACATCTGGGGCAACATCTACTCCCAATTCCCCATATCTGGAGCCACATCTGCTCCCAATCCCCCACATCTGGGGCCACATCTACTCCCAATTCCCCACATCTGGGGCCACATCTACTCCCAATCCCCCACATCTGGGGCCACATCTACTCACAATTCCCCACATCTGGGGCCACATCTACTCCCAATTCCCCACATCTGGGGCCACATCTACTCCCAATTCCCCACATCTGGGGCAACATCTACTCCCAATTCCCCATATCTGGAGCCACATCTGCTCCCAATCCCCCACATCTGGGGCCACATCTACTCCCAATTCCCCACATCTGGGGCCACATCTACTCCCAATCCCCCACATCTGAGGCCACATCTACTCACAATTCCCCACATCTGGGGCCACATCTACTCCCAATTCCCCACATCTGGGGCAACATCTACTCTCAATTCCCCATCTCTAGGGCCACATCTACTTACTGTGCTCGGGGGAAATCAAACTTCCCACTCATTTGTATATGAAACATGAGGTCACCGCCATTCAGGTACTCCATCACAAAGAACAGGTGACTCTGAAACAGGAACAACCAACACCGTGAGAATAAAGTAACACCGATGGTCACTCTGTAGGTGTGTAAGATGTGTGAGGAGCTGTAGATGTGTGATGGTGGACACACCTTGGACTGGAAGGTGCTGTGTAGAGGTGAGGTGAAATGGGGTTTAACGTCGCGTCCAAGATTATTACATACCTATTATATACCTATAGCAATGTGCATGCACGTGTGTGTGGCTGATTGTACTAGTCCGGACTGATGCTGATTTATAGTGCTAGCTCACTGAGATACCATGCCGCAGTTTAACATGAATACCCCACTCAAGACACAGTATACTGACTCCGAGCCGACCAGTCCTTGTTTTAACCTCTTAATGTCTTTTGGTATGACGTGCTGTGTAGATGTGTGATGGTGTACATACTTTGGACTGGAAGGTGCTGTGTAGATGTGTGATGGTGGACATACCTTGGACTGGAAGGTGCTGTGTAGATGTGTGATGGTGGACATACCTTGGACTGAAAGGTGCTGTGTAGATGTGTGATGGTGGACATACCTTGGACTGGAAGGTGCTGTGTAGATGTGTGAGGTGCTGTGTAGATCTGTGTTGGTGGACATACCTTGGACTGGAAGGTGCTGTGTAGATGTGTGAGGTGCTGTGTAGATCTGTGTTGGTGGACATACCTTGGACTGGAAGGTGCTGTGTAGATGTGTGATGCTGGACATACCTTGGACTGGAAGGTGCTGTGTAGATGTGTGATGGTGGACATACCTTGGACTGGAAGGTGCTGTGTAGATGTGTGAGGTGCTGTGTAGATCTGTGTTGGTGGACATACCTTGGACTGGAAGTTGCTGTGTAGATGTGTGATGGTGGACATACCTTGGACTGGAAGGTGCTGTGTAGATGTGTGAGGAGCTGTAGATCTGTGATGGTGGACATACCTTGGACTGGAAGGTGCTGTGTAGATGTGTGATGCTGGACATACCTTGGACTGGAAGGTGCTGTGTAGATGTGTGATGCTGGACATACCTTGGACTGGAAGGTGCTGTGTAGATGTGTGAGGTGCTGTGTAGATCTGTGTTGGTGGACATACCTTGGACTGGAAGGTGCTGTGTAGATGTGTGATGGTGGACATACCTTGGACTGGAAGGTGCTGTGTAGATGTGTGATGGTGGACATACCTTGGACTGGAAGGTGCTGTGTAGATGTGTGAGGTGCTGTGTAGATCTGTGTTGGTGGACATACCTTGGACTGGAAGGTGCTGTGTAGATGTGTGATGCTGGACATACCTTGGACTGGAAGGTGCTGTGTAGATGTGTGATGGTGGACATACCTTGGACTGGAAGGTGCTGTGTAGATGTGTGAGGTGCTGTGTAGATCTGTGTTGGTGGACATACTTTGGACTGGAAGGTGCTGTGTAGATGTGTGATGGTGGACATACCTTGGACTGGAAGGTGCTGTGAAGATGTGTGAGGAGCTGTAGATGTGTGATGGTGGACATACCTTGGACTGGAGTGAGTGAGTGAGTGAGTTTGATTTTACGCCGCTTTTAGCATTATTCCAGCAATATCACGGCGGGGGACACCAGAAATGGGCTTCACACATTGTACCCATGTCGGGAATCGAACCCGGGTCTTCGGCGTGACGAGCGAACGCTTTAACCACTAGGCTACCCGACCGTCCCACCTTGGACTGGAAGGTGCTGTGTAGATGTGTGATGGTGGACATACCTTGGACTGGAAGGTGCTGTGTAGATGTGTGATGGTGGACATACCTTGGACTGGAAGGTGCTGTGTAGATGTGTGATGTGCTGTGTAGATGTGTGATGGTGGACATACCTTGGACTGGAAGGTGCTGTGTAGATGTGTGAGGTGCTGTGTGGATGTGTGATGGTGGACATAACTTGGACTGGAAGGTGCTGTGTGGATGTGTGATGGTGGACATACCTTGGACTGGAAGGTGCTGTGTGGATGTGTGATGGTGGACATACCTTGGACTGGAAGGTGCTGTGTAGATGTGTGAGGTGCTGTGTGGATGTGTGATGGTGGACATACCTTGGACTGGAAGGTGCTGTGTAGATGTGTGATGGTGGACATGCCTTGGACTGGAAGGTGCTGTGTAGATGTGTGAGGTGCTGTGTGGATGTGTGATGGTGGACATACCTTGGACTGGAAGGTGCTGTGTGGATGTGTGATGGTGGACATACCTTGGACTGGAAGGTGCTGTGTAGATGTGTGATGGTGGACATACCTTGGACTGGAAGGTGCTGTGTGGATGTGTGATGGTGGACATACCTTGGACTGGAAGGTGCTGTGTAGATGTGTGAGGTGCTGTGTGGATGTGTGATGGTGGACATACCTTGGACTGGAAGGTGCTGTGTAGATGTGTGAGGTACATACCTTGGACTGGAAGGTGCTGTGTAGATGTGTGATGGTGGACATACCTTGGACTGGAAGGTGCTGTGTAGATGTGTGATGCTGAACATACCTTGGACTGGAAGGTGCTGTGTAGATGTGTGATGGTGGACATACCTTGAACTGGAAGGTGATGTGTAGATGTGTGATGGTGGACATACCTTGGACTGGAAGGTGCTGTGTAGATGTGTGATGCTGGACATACCTTGGACTGGAAGGTGCTGTGTAGATGTGTGATGTGCTGTGTAGATCTGTGTTGGTGGACATACCTTGGACTAGAAGGTGCTGTGTAGATGTGTGAGGTACAAACCTTGGACTGGAAGGTGCTGTGTAGATGTGTGAGGAAAGGATGTTGACAGCCCATGGCCAGGACCCGCCTCTCTATCATGGTACACTCGATATCATCATCCTCCAGCACGACATCCTTCTTCAGGGCCTTGACGGCGTAGTACTGGTCCGTGCCTCTCAACTGGGCCAGCAACACCTGCAACAGACCAAGACAGTCAGATCTAGCAGTGGACAAGGAGTCACCTTCCTGAACTTCTAATCTCCATCCACTGCTGTATTCAGGCAAATTGATGCAGTGTATGGTCCCTGGCAGAATAATTATCAGCACTTTCATTTAATATCCAAACTTTTTTTATTTGAATATTAATCACACATTTTCGATAGTCTCCATGAAGTTGAATGCAGGGGTCCGGAAACCGTCATATGCGCCGGACATGTCCGATTGGGAATCTCAAATGTCAAGTTCAAAATATTGCTTACCGGACATTTAAATTTTTCTGTCCGGACATTTTGAAAAGTATTGTCCGGACATTCTTAAATTTTGACCGGACATGATCAACAGTTAGGACTGAGCAGTTTCTGTCTGCAGTTGTAACACAATGAAGATTATCTACACTGACAAGCTTTGTTTGTTTGATTGCTGTAAATACATCGTACCTACATGATAGTCCAATCGGTCAATCACTGTAATAGGCAATAAACTGAGTTGACACTGATTAATCGAGGATTAATTACTGAGAACATCTTGTTAATTTGAGTGAAAGGTGTTTACAACTGTACATAAATACTTTGCATCATCAATGTACCTCATTATCCTCACAATGCTACGATACGTAACCTCAGACAAGTAGCGAAAGCGTGAGGACAGCCAGTCGACCAATGCAGATCAGTCGAGCGGAGCTGCCAAACCCTCAAAGTCTGGACGATCTAGGTAAGTCGAGGCTAACGACTTTCACTTGGTTGACATTCAATGAGGATTTGCAGATTTTATTGTTTTCAGTAGCTAGTCGTATATTGAATCTTGATTGACCGCCATTTTGCTTTCTGTGATGATCGATATCATTTTTTTATGGTCAATAATTAAGAACAGATGAAAAAAGTATTCAAATAACTATTGCTATCAACGGTATTTTAGTATTTGTGATTATATTATCTCTCTTGTGTTTAAATAATCTTTAGTTTAAAAAAACCCTTTTTCCCGTGAGGTCACGTGATAACCAAATATGGGATAATAGTCTCGATCCAAATGTTACAACGCGAGCAGACTCATGAATATAACTCATGAATATTAATTAGACCATTCACTACGTTAACAGATCGTTATTATAACTGAAATAAACGTATGTTTTCCATGTATATCTAAAATGATATTATTTGTTATTAATTGTCCGGTGAATTAACAATTTAAATTGAAACAATTCATAATTCATCATATTATGAATATGTAACAACCTGTAATGTGTGTGAAAAGTCGTCCTAAAATACGCTATTTGAAGGGGGCGTGGCCTAAATGCAAATGTCCGATTGGGATTTTAAATTTTCCGGACCCCTGGTTGAATGTTTCCTCAAACACACTCAATCATCTATGAGTGAGTGAGTATGGTTTTACACCGCTTTTAGCAATATTCCATCAATATCACAGCAAGGGACACCAGAAATGGGCTTCACACATTGTACCTATGTCAGGAATCGAACCGTGAATCGGCGTGATGAGCGAATGCTTTAACCACAAGGCTACCTGACCACCCCCCATCATCAATGAAATACTAAGAGTAAGGTCAAACTAATTCCCATCAGGATATATACATATTTTTAAATGTTCAAAATATTATTTCATCAATAAAAACATAGAACATATATTGTACAGGAACATGTTGGAACTCACCTTGCCAAAGCTGCCTTTGCCTAGCACCTTGAGGAAGCTGAACTCTTCTGGCGTGTACTTCCTGAGGGCAACAGGGGGTGCCTTGGTTGGGGAGGTCGCAGTGCCCATGCGCCACATCTCTTGGTAGTTCTCATCATCACTGTCTTCTTCGGCCTCGGCCTCGGCCTCGACCTCTGTCACCTGTAACAGCAGGAGTCACATCATCAACCATTACTGACGACTGGGCACATTTCAACCTTCTCCCATTATGCAAAATTTAGCGCAAAAGTCCAGCATATTTTCTGAGAGAATCATATCAATTTTTACTTCTTAACAACAGACGTTTAAGTGTAACTTGACCTTGACCTTGAGGCTCATGCATTACAGTCATTTGGTAACCATAAAACTGTGACCCTGATGTATACTGATTCTCTTATCTGAAGTTAATTCCACATTAGATCTTGAAGCTATGACCTTGACCCACTCAGAATATGACCTTCTGAAATATCAACCTTGACCTACTAACAGATTTTCAAAGATCTACTCACAGTGGTTCCTGTGGAAGGAGCTGACGATGAGGGTTTGGAGCGGCCTCCAGACGGGTAAACGTCGGCAAGAGCATCGGCAAGAAGTTTCTGGTTCACTCCACATAGATTCGGCATGTACTTCTCACACTTCTTATGGCAGTTGACTCCACACACTGTCAAAACAAAAGTGGACAGTTTAATGAACATGTCATGAGTTCTGGGCTCTGTGGAAATGTTTTCGCATAAAAGATCTTCACGGAGGCTGCTAATAATAACATTATATAAAATGAACATAACATTAGGAAATGATATATATTCCCAAATACTATCAGACTAACATACCATATTAGATGTAATAAGCGCCCAGGGCGCTCTAAAAATTAGAAATAGGGGGCTCTTATTAGGATATTATTTTGGTGAAAAAAAGAGTTGAAAGATAAATTTCGTGGTTTATGCTGACAGCCTGCAATGTTTATATACGACAGATATATTATTCCAGAATTTAATTGCCTATTATTAAGGGTGCATAGAACACACAAGTGTGTATTATACACGAATAAATAAGTCTTGTGTACATTGATCAATTGGAAGGGGTGCTAATTGGGATTGTTCACTTGTCAATATATTAGCAAATATCGCTGTGGGCGCTTATTACATCAAATACGGTATTTACAACAGGTCATAGTGATGTAAAGTCAGTTCAATTATTACATTTCCAGTTCACTGTAAAAACCTATCATTGTGACCTTCACCTTCACATTTGAGTCCCTGTCTGAAGAGGCCATACAACAGGGTGCCGCAGTGATCACAGAACGTCGGAGACATGTAGTTGTTCACACGGAATCGATGTGGCATGTCGATCTTGAATCGTTTTGTTAACATCTGAAAAAGGAAAATTTCATCATATTACCCATTCAATTTCAGTGCAATTATTAAAACTCCATATACCAACAAAAGTCTCAGTATAAGTAGTTGGGTATAACACAGTTCTTAACAGTATTCCTGGTATATCACAGCGTTTAAGAGTCAGTGGATAAGTATGGTATTAGTCTACTTTTAACAATATTCTATCAATATCAAGCAGTCAATAATTGATCTGGGGCGGTCGGCTAGCCTAGTGGTTAAAGCGTTCGCTTGTCACCCTGATGGCCCGGGTTCGAGTACCGACATGGGTACAGTGTCAAGCCCATTTCGTGATATTGATGGAATATTGCTAAAAGCAATGTAAAACCATACTCACTCACTCACTCACTCACTCACTCACTCACATAATAATTATTCTTGTCTTCACACACTGTGTAACAGCAGAATCTCTTTTTGAAGTTTGGTCATATCTTTATACCATAAATGTCCTGAGTAGTACAATGGTCAAATCTGAAGCTGTGGTTTCATGTTAAGATTGCTGCAAAGCTTTTTCACTTTAATAAATAAATGATCAGAGCTCCAGATAACTTTCTGAGTAACAGAGTTTTTTTACGCGAAGGTTTCTATTTTAATTGGGTTATTACATTTTTCTTTGGGTAACCAATATTTTTTCTCTCATCTATTCATCACTGTATTGGGGTTTAAAATAAAATGAAATATTTTGGATGTATTTAAACGGTTCTAAATAGAGGCTTGACCAATAAGAAAATTAGCTCATAATTGTGTTTAGGAAATTAGCTCTGTTGTACGCATGCTGAAAAAGCTTCAATGGGTATTTACGCGTGCTGTTTTTATACATTTGAGTTTTTCATTTAATGCCTGCGTTTCTGTACACAAGTTAATTGAAAGTAGTTGTGTTTGAATATTTCGTCAGGGGATTTTACGCAAATATGCAGCTTATCTGTAGCTCTGAATTATTCAGAGATTTCCTTGGATATGAGTCAAACAAACATAAATATATCTGGAATATAGTAAGTCAGTGGTAAAGCTTTTCCAAATTTCCCAATTAATGGCTTTCTTAAAGACATACACACAAACATAAATGTCACTACATTTGGGGTTAGAAGGAAAATTTACAAGATTCTTGTTATTGTCTCTTGTACAATGGTGATACTGAGAAGTTTACGAGGAGGTCATGTGCTGGGAAGTTGGGGAATTGAGTATTTCAAGGGAGATAACTCTGATTACCTTTGTTTCTCGACTGTCTTTAGCACTGCCTGGGCAGTCACTGAGGATCTTGACATGGCATTTCTTGTGGACAGCACAGTTGCATGCTAAAAAAAATATCACAATTTAACAAATTATAGACATGATAAACAATTGGTATAAAAAATTAAATTTGACATACATATTCAATATACAACAGCAACACATTTTCTCCTTTTCTGATCCAGTGAGGTGAGGTGAAATTGGGTTTAACGTCGCGTCCAAGATTATTGCACTTATATAGCGACGTGCATACACGTGTTTGCATGGCTGCTTGTACTAGTCCGGACTGATGCTGATTTATAGTGCTAGCTCACTGAGATACCATGCCGCAGTTTAACATGAATACCCTACTCAGACACAGTATAATGACTCCGAGCCGACCAGTCCTTGTTTTAGCCCCTTAATGCTGAGCGCCAGACAGGGTAACATCAAGTACATCTTTTAACGTCTTTTGGTATGACGTGGCCGGGGATCGAACCCCGGGACCTTCCGCTCTTCGGGCGGACGCTCTACCACAAGACCACGGAGGCGGCCTCTGATACAGTGTATGTGACAACATATTAATACTGCTTAACTACCATTACAACATTTTTTGCAGTCATTTGGCATTGAAAATGCAATATGAAGTAACTGTGCCACAAATGAATCAGTTACACAATTTCATCATCATTCATCATTTCTTTGTGTAATTGACAAATGACACTGAATATTTAACATGATGTGAATGGTTCAAGCAACAACTTCTTATTCAGTACACACTGAAATTAAAAAATACATACAGTACTCCATGACACATATTTTAAATGGACTGACAATTTTATCAGGTTTCCATGGCAACCGATAGTTCTTTATATGATTGTTATCTCACTCACCTTTACATTGATATCCCTGTTTATTCAGCCCCCTGAAACATATCACAGAAACGGTTTTGACTATAATACAGATAGCAAAGACTTAATACCGTATTCGACGTAATAAGCACTCCGCTCTAATAAGCGCCAACGGCGATATTTGCTAATATATTGGCTAGTGAACAATCCCAATTAGCACCCCTTCCGATTGATCAATGTACACAAGACTTATTTATTCATGTATAATACCCAGTTGTGTGTTATATGCACCCTTAATTTAAGGGCAATAAAATTCTGGAAAAATATATCAGTCATATATAAACATTTCAGGCTGTCAGCATAAACCACAAAATTTACGATCTTTTTCACCAAAATAATATTCTAATGAGAGCCCCCTATTTCTAAATTTTGAGAGCGCACTGGCCGCTTATTACCTCGACGACGGTAAGTAAAAATGTTGTATAATTAACTCAGCACAAAATGACTGTATGACTGGTATCCCTTAACCCATCACTGAGGTATATCATCCTTCATGTCGGACCATAGCTTTTATGTTTCTGGGGCGAGGATAGGTCTTCAAAATAGTTTTGTTTTTTGTGGTCTCATATATTATTTTGAGAACAAGGGTTTGTTTGTATGTTTGTTGTTTAACACCGCACTCTGCAAAAGTCTGGTCCAGTCAATCCAGTGATTGACATCATGAGCATCGATCTACACAATTGGAATGCAGTAGCATGCATCAACCAAGTCAGCGAGACTGACCATCCGGGCCTGGTAGTCGCCAGTTATGACAGGTATGGGTTGCTGAAGCCCAATTCTAACCCGGATCTTCACAGGGTTGAGAACAAGAACTGCTTCAACTTAAAACAGTATGTTGTTTGTTTACACTTTGAATTAAGACCAATCCCCTTTTCACAATGTGATTTTAGTGTTGTCGTAACTGCCATTGTGTAACCCAGATTTACAATAGTCATGGAACTACGATTGCTTGTAAACAAAGGCTCTGATTAGAGAGATGGATGTCTTGACAAATCTTTAGTTTTTGGCACAAACATAATATGCCTGTTGAATATTAATGCTGATTTGAGTGGTTTATTTTCAGCCTGTCACATACCACATGAAGTCATTGCAGAAGGAGCAGAATACTGGCTGGCGGAAAAACTTGGCAATAAACTGATGCCCCTTGACCTCATGAACTTTCTGCTGTTTCATGGCGCCACGTCGGACGAAGCCCCGCTTTGAACCAACTTCATCCATAGGCTTCTGTAACTCTGAAATAAGAATTTTCTTCAGTATACTCACTGGCAAGCCTACCATTTTTTATATGACTGCACAACATTTGCAGTTCTATGAATGATTGCAACAGTTGTCCCAGTATGATTTTAGCAACAGCTGTAACTGTATGACTGTGTTTTATGAAGGATTGCTACAACAGTTTAGCTTAATGAAGGATTGCAGGATTGCAACAGATGTTGCAGCTTAATGTAGGATTGCAACAACAGTTGTAGCTTTATGAAGGATTGCAACAACAGTTTTGTAGTTTTATGAAGGATTGTAGTGAGTGAGTTTGGTTTTACGCCACTTTAGCAATATTCCAGGGACACCAGAAATGGGCTTCACACATTGTACCCATGTCGGGAATCGAACCCGGGTCCTCTGCGTGGCAAGCGAACACTTTAACCACTAAGCTATCCCACCGCCCCCTGAAGTATTGTAACAACAATTGTAGTTTTATGAAGAATCGTAACAACTGTAGCAAAACAATTACCTGTACGAGCCGTTTTTTTTGTTGTAGATCTTTTCATGATTAAATCCGTTTACTTTCCAGGTGTTTAACAGAATAACACAGATATAACTCCTCTAAATCTGTATTAGTAACAGATCCTCACTGCCACGAACCTCCAAAGTCAGCACAATGGACCTCAATTCTTGGATTCAATACTTTCTTTCTCTCACTTTTAATCCTTGTATTCCAAGGTGTACAAAATCCCAACATAACCCTTCATCCAGCACTGCCCACTCTCACCTAGCAGCTTTATCCAATGTAATCTCAGCTGGTATAATCGTGCACTGCACAATTATTCACCACAACTTTTCCTACGATATTGTAATGCTATATATTTGAAAAAATTGTATAGATTTCATGTCCTCTCTGAGGAAGTCAGCTTACAAAGGAAGTCTAAAAATAATTTATTTTTTTCCTGTCATACAGATACAGTGTACTTCCAACATTTTACATTTAAATTTAATCACGGCAACCAATTCAAACAAATTCTCACACGGCAGGAAAATCAGGAAGCCTTAACCTTGTAAAAATACATCTATATCTTCTCATAGTGTCTAATCTCTTGATATCAGGTAATATAACATGAAGAGTTCCATGACCTTCTTAGGCCTTTTTTTACATAAGAAAAACAATTACATGATTACTTAGGCCTTTTTAAGAAAAAGAATAAACACAATATAGAGAACCTATCAACATTACATCACTGATTTTACCTCCAACCAGGAAAAATATTCAGTTCATTTTTTTATTGTATTGAAATGATTTTGTTATAAAGTTTTACCACACACCTGAACTAATTGTTAGTAAAAAATCTGTAAACCATAAAACGTAAAAAAAGTGTAGCTTAACTTGGAACTACTTGAAATACCTGCGCGTACCAAATGACATCCTTCTCAAGAACTTCATTGTGGGATTCCTTACAGCTTCAACATGTCAATATCTTGAGTAATATGAATTAAAGAACACCTTCGAGACATTACACAAATAATGTCATTGTATAAACAGGCTGGATCATATTTGTAATGTTTACACTTATATAGTAATAAGAGTCAGGTAAAACTGATTTTCTGCTTTTTACTGCAACAGGCCTCACCTTCTGTGCCTGAGAAGTATCGGATCTGAACTTGGAGACGTCCAGATGGTCGAAGGTCCAACTGAAAAAATGTGTTTGCCAATAAACTTGATATTATTTTTATTTGACTTATGCAATAGATCTTATAATTGACTGACGTAGATCTATTTGTAAATATTGTGTTGTGCAGTAAAGATTACCAACTAAACAGCAATATTTTAACAAGTTATGAAAGAAATGCATGAAGTGTGTAAAATCAACATAAACCTTCTATCATGCCATTATCTGCAAAAAGGTAAAAATATTGTTTTACAAATAATTTCATCACAATACCAACAAGAAAACAGCGTTATCACTATCCCCTGCCATGGGGCACATGAGAAGTTTGTTTGTTCTTATGGTAGTGAATATTAACTATATGCCAACTTTATGTCATCAGAAAAAAAGATTATATGTAAAATCAATACATGTACCGGGTACACACAAAAGGCCCCTTCTCTGGAAAAAATAATTTATGGTAGAAATTCTCAAACTCAGTCTTAATAAGTATCTCTAAGATAGGCTAACTTGAGTAGTTTCTGAGAAAACTTGTTCCCACTGCAGACACTATGTACTTTGTAAAATATCATGGGTTAAGGGCAGTAAATGTGTATGCTCAAAATCTGAAAACATGTTGCAAGGGAAGTAACTCTGGGAGAAAGTAATTACGGGGACCAATTCTTGAACAATCTTGACAAGTATGTCATAGATAAGATGCATTTTTCATTCATGTGACTTCAGTCAATTGTCCCATTGCAGAAAATATGCAGTAAGTTGAAAAGCATGGAGGAAGGGCCATAACTCTGTCAAAAATGTGAATTAAAGACATCAATTTTCGAACTCATTTAAGATGAAGACCAGCTTAAGCAGTTTTTGAGAACATTGTCCCCTTTGAGAACCGAACGGATGGACAGTAAGAAGGAAGGACAGTAAGACAGATCGAAGGACAGGAGGTCTGATGGACGGATGAACTCCGTCCTATAGCCCCTGCCTCACTTCGTAGCGGGGGATACAAAGAAATTTTCACAGATACTAATCTGTACCGTAATAATAATAGGGGCTTGATAATGATTTCCAACATGGCTGGTAACAGATGAATGTTTTATCAGCATAAATGATCTTAATGTACAAGCTTCCAGGAAAATACTTTCTCCGGATATTGAGAATGACGCACAGAGGTTCATTAGTCAGTGGTATGACGTCAGAGAGTTAAAGTCCCAGCTGATCAGAAATCCGGATTAGTCTCTGCGCACTCACCCACACGGTCGTCACATTACTGTTGCCACATTTTTCTGCCATGACCCTGGCGCCAAGGCTCATGTCGGCAAGGAAACGATTTGGTCGTTCCATAACCACCATTTGGATGACGCGACCTTCGTATAGATGTGCATCGAAACAAGAGTTCCATTCTGGATACAGTGTCTTCTTCCTCTGCACAAGCTGAATTCCACGGCCTGAAACAGAGTGAGTGAGTGAGTGAGTGAGGGTTTAATGCCGCTTTTAACAGTATTCCAATTATATCACGGCATATCAGCTTAATGAGGGAGAAAGCCCGAAGTGATGCAGGTCACAAACGTTTACCACTTCTGTGAAACCCATGAGCACGGGTATGGTGCTGACAAACCTATAAACATAATCAGGGCAAACCGGGATTCGAACCCACAATCATAGGTCTCTGGCGTGCCCAAGGGACGCAAGTACTTCCACAATGATCTTTAGCTCACCTGACTCCCCTCACTGGAAGTCACACATTTTATACACTTCAACCTTGTTTTGTTAAGAAAAAATGGTGCAAGATTCTAGGAAAAAGATAACATGTTATATTAAGTTGAGCTACTATGTAAAGTACAGCAACCCAACATAACGGGACATGTTGGTAGGTAAGTCTTAATGTATCTTCCTCTGTGAGACATCACGTCAATATCACAGAAGCATCAATAGCTGACGTGTGACATATCGCTTATATCCCCCACGAGACTTATCACAGAAACTTCCATTTCAGGGGGAATCTTACATGACAGGAGCCATATCTTAAGCTCTTGGTGGCAGAGAGACATCATATTCCGTGAAGGTTTATAACTGATTTATGTTTTTCCCATTAGCACAGTTAATAGGCAGAATAGATGTATAGCAAGGGATTGACATACAAGACTTTCTGGTAGACATGATCCAATATCATTGCTGGATAACCACTGACTTAGTAATATTGGTGTCGTTTATTGTGTGTTTATTGTGTCGTTTATTGCATGTCATATCACATTAGTTGATGGTTTGTGGAAATGATTTGGCTATACTGACTGATTGATATACAGAAATCTTGATCATATATAGAGGATATTATATAAGTGTTCATGTCATACTTTGTTTACGACACAAGTGTCTAAATTTGAGTATTTCCTGAGAGATAGCGAGGGAAATACTGGAATTTAGGCACGAGTGTCAGAAACATAGTATGACAGGAACACGAATATAAGGTTCTATTTATTACCGAAGAAGATGTCTACATACAGAGACGAATTTTAGTGTTTACCTATAAGGACTGCAAGTCGCAACAGAAGCGGAACCACAATTTGTCTAATGATGTCAACAATCTTCAGCTATGATGTCATTTGTCGTGTGACATCATTCCAACCTCACGTCACAATAAGATTCGAAAACGTCAACAATGCCGTCCGGCTGACGGAAACAACACACTGTTGTCATGTGACGTGATATGACCCTAGGGCACATATGATTTTAATGAGCCCCAATATGTTTGCCTTTTTTTTCTATTGAATTGATTTTAGTTTTTGAAGTGAAATATTTTAAAAGGTAATGTGAAAAATATGTTGCTTCAAACTAATATACAGTAAACTGTATCTAAGCTCGGGGGCACGGGTGGCCCAGTCGTCTAAGGCGCCGCGATTCGCTGTGCAGAGTTGCATCCCTTGGGCATGCCAGAAACCTATGATTGTGGGTTCGAATCCCGGTTCGCCCCAATTATGTTTCTAGGTTTGACAGCACCATACCCGTGCTCGTGGGTTTCACCGAAGTGGTAAACGTCTGAGACCTGCATCACTTGGGGCTTTCCTCCCACATTAAGCTGACACGCCGTGATATAACTGGAATAATGTTAAAAGCGGCGTTAAACCCAACTCACTCACTCACTCACTGTATCTAAGCTCCAGCACTCTATAAAATGGCATTTATTTCTAAAACCTGGTTACGACATGATTATTTAAACTCGGCGTACTCCAGCATTTGTCTATTCCACACACTGTCATTATTGGTCCTAATCTTCCAAATTCCTTTCAATATACCGTATATGACCATAAATAGCTGAAGTTTGAGGACAGAAAAAAGATCCTGTAGAAAGGGGTTGACCTATTCAAAGGTTACACTTTCATCAAACTCTTTTTCTGTTTGTAAAAAAACCTACATCGTATTGCTTTAGGTGAATGAACTATAGATCACAAACTTTGTCAATAAAAATGTGAAATTTGCAATTGATCATCACTAGACATGATGATTTACCATTTAGATTGTATTTCTTGTTATGCTGCGTATTGTTTTATGTGCAGAGATTAAGATTACAGTGTGTATTGTCTCATAATCATACCCAATAACACCTTTGAGGTTTTTGCGCGATCTCGCTATTTCCATCGCAAAAACAATATGTTGACATATAAGAGTCAAACTACAACAAATATTCCTTTTAACGAGTCAAAGTATGGCAGTTATGATATATGTATCCATTTTCTGTCAACTAAGGCTTGTTTCAATAGCGGTAATATGATCGTGATTGCTCTGAATAGTGTGAGTTGGTGCGATCAAGGTATGTCGTAAAGTGGGAAGTTAAAATTAATAAAATAGATTACAAACAAATCTATGAACATACAGAGTAAGGACAGGATTAACTTGCGTAATTCAATATGGATTTGTTGATATTCTATTTCCGATGACGGATCATGATCAGACGTAGTTTTACGTTGGCGGTCTGGCTTATGTACCACACATAATATTTTGATACAGATTTCAAGGACCAAGTTAATACCTCGGCTTAACTATGAGATCGGCTTATCGACGGTCATATATGGTACCGGCATTGTTTTCTGACTGGATGATTGCCAGCTAGACAGGATAACTATAACAAATGCTGCCATGGCAACCATGTTGAGAAACCTGGCTATTTATTTACCATCTTTTTTTTTATAAATGTATGACCAAATTCTCATCGTTTTAGTGAGTGAGTGAGTGAGTTGGGTTTAAAGCTGTTTTGATATCATGGTGTGTGGGCTTTATGTGGGAGAAAAGCCTGAAGTGATGGTAGGTTGGTTGGTTGGTTGTTTAATGCTGCACTCAGCAATATTCCAGCTATATGATGGCGGTCTGTAAATAATCGAGTCGGGACCAGACAATCCAGTGATTAATAACATGAGCATCGATCCACGCAATTGGGATTGATGACATGCATCAACCAAGTCAGCGAGTCTGACCACCCGATCATGTTAGTCGCCTCTTACAACAAGCATAGTCGCTTTTACGGCAAGCATGGGTTGCGAAGTGATGCAGATCTCAGATGTTTACCAGTTTGGAGAAACCCACAAGTATGGGTATGGTGCTGACAAATCTAGAAACATGATCGGGGCGACCCGGGATTCAGACACATGGTTTTATTGTATCTAAGTCAGGGATTGGGCTTATTACATGGAAATAAGACAGGATTAGAACACCCATTATAATTCTCTTGAAGAAGCACAGTTTATTGATGACATATACAAAAATCCCACCTAACACAGATGGCTGTCACAATAAATAACAGATTAAAAAATATTTAATCAGAATAACCAGATCAAAGTTCACGAAAATCTATGATTAAACTGACAAACAAGGAAGTTAGTATCACTCATTGTACCAATTTGGAAAAAAATGATTTTCAGTCAATCAAATTCTGAAATCAAACAGCAATCCTACAAGTAGAACACACTGATCAAACCCATCAAACTAGACCAACAAGCAAGAAAGACAGAGGAACCTCTGAAAACAATGTCAGCTACAACATATCAAGCTCTAAGGTTATCTCAGTCAACATCTATCTCCAGATTAAGTAATCTATCCCAGTCGTGATGGAGTCTAAGAGAGGGGAGGGTGTGAAAAACAATTACCAAATCGACAATCTTGTTTTCAAAATGAATGTTAGACTTGCAGCAAGTCTCTTATAACAGATACTATGCTCTCACAAATAGATAATTCAAGTTGTTCAAACATGATTTGCCCGCTCACTCAAATGTTATGATGTATCCTACTCAAATTTTGATAGGGATAATCAGACATGTCATTCTGTTTAAATACACACTTGACATGTTATGAGAATCAGTTTTGTGTAGCATGGAGAGATAAAAATATCCAAGTCAAAAGTGGAGGAATATACTTTAATCTAACTGTTGAAATGTCTCAGGTTTCTAGGTTTCTAGGCCAATATCCTTTGCAACAGAAAATTTATTTTCTAGCATATTTCTTACTGTTTTCTAATTATTAAAAGACAAAACTTAAACTTATCATGTTTTCTATTTGTGTCTCTTGCTCAAGCATTAGACAATTTGAACCAACTGGCATCTAATTGTTTTTTAGATATTACAAATATTACGGCAAGAATGCAGTATACCGGATACCATTCCTAAGAAACAGTTTCTAAATTTTTCAGACACCATTTTTGTCGCCTGCTAAATTAACATGTGGTTTCAGAGGCTTGCCCCCGACCCCACTCGGGGTAGATACAAAAGAATTCAACGTGTTTGCATTTCTGTGTTGATGTCCAATTTTCGACATTTAAGCATCACTTTCATATTGGAGTTCAAGGTTTAATCATACTAACAGTCGGACAGACGCACTGACCAATTGAATATCGCAATACATATCGTATTATGACTCAAGTATTCTACTAAGGCTATCTTGACATCCCTTTCAAACACATACTGTGATATAAATAAACTGAATACCACTCACTCACTCACTCACTCACTCACTCAGCCTTAAAACATCAAATTCAAGTCAAGGTAGAATGGTCCTATCCGACAAAAAATCGCCTGTCAACTATCCTTTGATGACAGTGCATGACACTCACCTGGGGTGTCGATAGCCTCTTTGACGTTGATAGCAATATAGGGGTCGTACATATTCTCAAAGGTCATGCCCTTCTCCACCTGCAGAAGTCTCACCCGGATAAATCCGGCTCCGCCCGCTCCTCCCGGCATCGTGAAGGTTTTATCTGCGGTGCGTGTATCACAGTTCAGATATCACAGATGATCTGAAACGGAAACATGATCCTAAATGTACATGTCAATCATGATATGTTCAATTTCGTTTCCTTTGACATCTGACGACCAATGTGAGCAAGTCCAAGTAGGTTGTACGCGGTATCAGAAAACCGATAGGTCTTTCAGGAAGCCAACCAATCTCAGTTCCTGAAATTATGAATTGTGTTGATATTCTTTCACATATTTCCCCATGCACAATTGCACATAAAATGATTTTTCTAAAACAGAATGATAACGTTTTAGTTGTTTGGGTCTTGACAGTATCCTGCTTCAAGAAATCTCTTCAATTCCAACCAATGCTCTTGAGAGACAGTTATTGAGAAATTGATTCTATGATTTTTCAAAAGTTTTGCAAGGAACCAAAATAAACAAAGTCAATCAGTTTCTGCAGACCTCTTTCAGCGATGGATTATTTAAATTGAGAAAGGCATTAACGACAGCTCTGTCCTGTCCCTAGGAAGAATATGTGACCAATATTCCATGTTGTTGGGAGACGAATAAATTGAAGATGTTACCATGGTTACAGAACGTGGCCATGGCTGGCTGTGTGTTGTCATACCCCAACGGTGTGAACGGTTTGTTCATGGCATGATGCCACTCTAGACATGATTACAGGCCACCTTGATATTTCCTTTGTATTGCAGAATGAGCAGGACTCACTCACACTCAATAAAGATTCGAGGAAACAAAAAGCAATCCTTGAGAATAAACATATCCTGACAAGCAAACGGTTATTCGTTTGATTCAAATCAAGATTTTGAATGATAACTCATTTCAATATATCAAAATATCAAGCCATGTGGTTAAGAGCTCATCCTACCATAGAGACTGAATACACCTCTTTATGCAGGTTTAAAATTATATCAAAGAATGAGTTTTGTTATCAGATTATGTCATTCCTCAGTGTATTCTTGTTTTCAGGCCATCAATGTCTCCCAGCATTGAACTACACGTCCATCAATATAACTGACCCAAGATCCTTGTTTAACAATAACTTCACATGACCCTGGTGTGATACCCAACACTGGCTCCACATGACCCTGGTATGATACCTAACACTGGCTCCACATGATCCTGGTGTGATAGCCAACACTGGCTCCACATGACCCTGGTATGATACCTAACACTGGCTCCACATGATCCTGGTGTGATAGCCAACACTGGCTCCACATGATCCTGATGTGATCCAGAGTCAATACCCAAAATTAGCTCCATATGGCCCAGGGTCAATACCCAACATTAGCTCCATATGGCCCAGGGTCAATACCCAACACTAGCTCCATATGGCCCAGGGTCAATACCCAACATTAGCTCCATATGGCCCAGGGTCAATACCCAACATTAGCTCCATATGGCCCAGGGTCAATACCCAACATTAGCTCCATATGGCCCAGAGTCAATACCTCACATTGGCCCCATGATCAAGACATGATACCAAACACCAGATCTACAATAACTAGAATACAATATACTTTATAGCTAAAATGGATAGAATTATCATTAAAACGCCCGCATGTTATCAGTAATGAGCGGGCCACTGTAACTTGATAATGCCCTCATATTACTTGATGACGGGCCATTATCACGCCCGTTGTTAGGTGACGTCATAGGAAAGGGATAGGTGACGTCACGTTCAATAGTGACGTCATCTGGTTTGTTTTATGACGTTTCCATTTTTGTAAAAGTGACATTCCTGTTGATTGCAGTAAATGTTTCAAAACCGATATTGTTGTTTCTTTTTTTTTAATGACAAATTCCATCGATTTCAGCTATAATAACGGTAACGCTATTTTTCAAGGCATTATCATTTGCAGAAGCCCTCAGTCTTTTCAACTGCCCTCCTCCGTCGGGCAGTTAATGGAAGACCTCGGGTTTCTGCAAATGATAATGCCCTGAAAAATAGCGTTACCCTTATAATATACAATATACTACAATACCTAATATTGGCAGTACCAATCTTTCACATTGGCCAGTGGGTTTAAACCTAGATGGTCGCATTACTGACACCTCCAAGTCACCCTGTGACCCCAGACAATGGAGGTAGGGCCATGTTGGCAGTGTCAGTGGCACCAGATACTAGGGTTGGATTCCCCAGATAGGTACACTCAGTGTAAGCCACTAATGGCATCCTATGGCAGGATGACATTCCCATCACTGATCTGAAAGAAAATCACTCCCCATCAACTGGGCACAGATCATCTGACATCTTTACAGAACTGGATCCAGAAATCAGGAACTAGAGCAAGAACAACTAGCCAAATGTCCAGGGGCTCGTTCCACAAAGCTATCGTAACACTAGGGCTATGTTAACTCTGCGATGGTAATGGACTTCTGACAGTCATAACAGCACAATGAATTTGGGATCCCACACCGTTCTCTGACCAAACACTGCACAGAGTGGATTCACTTAATGCTACATAAAATACTACAATGTTAGGGTATGAACAACAATTACACTGTTTTTAATATATTTCTCTGATATGGCATTAGTTCTCAAGAAGGTTTTAATATTAATGACTTTTTTAAAAATAATTCTTGAATTAAAGCATTTTAAGTTGATTTTTCAAATAAATGACTCCAATTTGGCAAATATTTATCAGAAGGTCATAATATGAATGCCTCTCCTTTTGAAATAACTTTTGAACCATTAATGTTAATTGACTCAATTTTGCAAACATTATCAAGCAATTCTTTCAATCGAACTCAAATTTTACGATAGTTCTGAAGCCGCTTTAAGTTTATTGACTCAAACTTTACAAATGTGTCAGCTGGGTGTATTGTAATCCCTATGCTTGTCACGTCCACTGCCCACTGTTCAGAGAGTCGTATCACTTATTGCGAGGCAACCTTACTACTCAGATGTGTCATATTGCGACAAGGTGTATTATTAGTTCAAGATTACATAAGCCTTTATTTTCATTCATAGCAGAAGTCAGATAAATCTACAAAATCCAGGAGTTGGTTGTTTCTATCAAAACTGTATATTTTCAGAGACAAAGAATAAGTCTAGGTCAACAATGGCACATGCAACATACAACTGGTTCCAAAGAGATAGTTACACTTTCAAAACCCATCAGACCAGACCATGTCTGTTAGACGTCTCAGGATGATACTCCGCAATAATTAATCTACACAATTTGTTAATCAATATGTAATGAGGTTACCGCCATACTCTTTGATAGCAACATAATCCTAGAAACACCATTTATCAAGTATGACAGAGGACCATATCGGTAACCGACGCCAAGAGATATAGAATACTAAACGAGCTCCCGTGTAATACCAATTTTATGAAACGAGTGAATAGTTGTGGTATCTGACGAGCGAAAGCGAGTCAGATACCACAACTATTCACGAGTTTCATAAAATTGGTTTTACACGGGAGCGAGTTTAGTATTTTATTTATTACTTGCAATTTATAACGTTTTTTGAATTATACTGTTGAGTATGAATAGGCTGACACCTACATGATCCACGACATAGTCCAATTGAGTTTAACAGAATAATACTTCAAACACGTCAAAAGTTGAAACGTATGAATTTCATACCATACAACGGGTCTACCTTTAGAATTCACAAAATTATCGTAGGGCTAAGACTTTCGCATCTCACATACTTTAACTTAGACCAACGACTGTCGTTGCGCTACAATACGATCGCCTTGTGGAACGGGCCTTGCACCTGAAAGTTTACAATAACGTCACAATACCCGATGACGTAATTTGTGGAATTTTGATGCAAGATCCATCGGCGAAACAATGCCATGTGACGTCAGCCTAGCAACAAGGTTGCTGGGGTCATCGAGTGTGCATAAGCTCCTCTCAGTGATCTATCAACTCCACACGCAATGTCGTTGAATAAGCCAAGAGATGTTGAGAGCTTTCAATATTTGTTCGTGAAACGTGTTCCGAGAGTACATAAGCACGCGTTTTGGTATTACACAATGTGTAATAAAGCTGTATGTTTATTAAACGGGCGATCTCTTCACGGGCAAGTAATAAACAAACTTATTACGCGAGTAAGGTTTCATAAAGGGCCAATGTCATACAATGCATACAAGCAGTTGTAAATCATGATTTTTTCATGAATTGATTTTCCAACATTCCTTTGATGTTCCAGCATTGATAAACTATTCCTTACTGCACCCTGCACTTTCAGTAACTATGTTTATTATATTGATCAAAATAATAAATCACCCCTATAAAATAAATCGACAGTTAAATTGGCATTTTTATCAAACAGTTGCTGTTTGTTGTGTCACTAGAGCAGCCCAAGAGAATATTACTACACATATTTGGATGTCAATCTTTGAATGAGCAAGGGCCAATATTAATTATGCATATTCTAGCTAATGACATTCAGTGTGAGTACAAACAGGCATTCATATTGCATAACTTTCCTTAATATTTTCTGACCGCAAAACACAACCATAACTACTTTTTCAATATCTAATGTGTCACTTTTTGGGGTTATTATGAACACTGAAAAAATTATAGTGTAAATATAGTTGTATACAATCATGACATCAGAGAATGAGCTGGTGAATATTGTTTACATTACACTCAGCAATTCTCATTAAAATCAGATCTTAGTTCTCGCTAACAAATAACAAAGATCTGAGGACATCCCAATACAGGCCATGAGAACAACCTTTATTAAAAACTTTGACCGACTAATCAAATGACAAACAAGAAGTCTACATTAGCCAATCAGAAAGCAACTTTGTCCAGCTATACCACACTACTTTCAAACTGGTGACTTCAATTCCAGACTATACTTGACAAATATGTTGACAAGGTTCTCGATTAAAAAGGTAAAAACTGAAGGAAAGAACATTCTGAAATGTCTGTTAAATATATACATAGTACAGAATATATATAGTAGGTGGAGGATTAGCAGGTGGACTATATATATTCTGTACCATGTCCCTCATTCAGTCTTGCTTGACAACAGTATAAGGATCTATACTGAAACGTTGCTTTTTACAGTA